CAGATGAACAATGGAAAAATTTGTTTCTCCAAATTTTTTAACATGATTTAAAAAAAACGTTTATGGTAACCAGCAGATCTACATCACTGGACACCCACATAGTTGATCACAGTTTGAGTCCCGGACCTGGTGGCCTAAACTCATGCCAGCGTGTGTGCGTGCGTGCCCAAAATCCCGAGAGGAGAATGGAGGAGAAGGAATTGCAGTGTTGCCATTCCCCTGGAGGGTGATTTCTTGCTTTCTGTCTTTCTGTCTCTCTGGTGAGCGCACACTCCCTATAGCAAAAATCTCTCTAAAAATAATGTTACTGATTTGCTCTTCTCTGAGCAGGAAAGAGAGCACCCCAACAGGGTCGTGGTACCACAGCCCGCCCCCAACTTCAGCCAGCTCCAGATGATGGGTGCACGCATGCCCCGGCGCCCAAGGAGGCCTCTGGGTGCGGATCGGGAACCTCCCATGCAGGTCAGCCTTGCAGGTTTTTACCGCTGCACCGCCATCCAGTCCTGCTCCGATGACTTATAACACAAACTAAACACTTGGTTGTAAATCACCTCTTTCTCTTCTACCACCCGCAGAGCATTGGGCTTGCTGGGAGGCACCATGAGTTTCTCTGGTCACTCTGGTTTCTCTGTAGGCCTTGACAGTGTGGAAAAGACACTTTCTTTAAAAGCTCGTGATCTGGATGGTCACCCGGGTCTCTCCACCCGGTGGAGAGAGGTTTTCTGAAGAAGTGAACAGAGCTGAGGAAGAGTCATCACCATGCCAGCAATGACACATTTCACTCCAATTCTTCCCAGCCGCTCCTGCTTGACAGGCCAGTGTCAGCGGTCCCATGTCACCCGGGGATCTGTAGACCGAGTGGAGACGATCAGGTTGTTTTTTACTGTATCGTCACAGAGCCTCAGCTTGCCTGGATGGCTTTCTTGTAGCCGGCCCTGGACTCTGCCACACCCTCTTCAAGTCCTCATCCCCTCACCACATCTGCAGTCAGGACCAGGGTTCCCATCCCTTGGCCCTAATGATAAAATTACTGATAAACAAGGGTTTTACAGATTCTAGTTTTAGTTCTTCCACACGGACAAGTGACACACAATTAAGTTTCAGAGCTTGAGTTCTCTGTTAACAGATTTAGCCTACCAAAACATTTCTCCCCTATACTGAGTAAGATTGCAGTCTGAAAACCCATCAAAGGCACAACTCCTCCTTGTTTGAAAGTGGTTGGATTAAAATATTATCCTTTGGGGCCAGAAGGTGGCATCGTGGTTAAGGCACTGGACTCCCACATGGCTGATCATGGTTCGAGTCTTGGATCTAGTGGCTTTTTCACTTTCTCTCTCTCTGGTTAGCACATGTGCTGTAGAAAAACAAAACTAAAAACAAACATAAAATTAAATAATTCTTAAAAAAAAAAAAAATCCTTTTCTGCTGGGTGAAGCTGGTACGGCCCAGGATCTTTCTGGCTCACACTGGCCAGCATGTCTTCCTTTTCTGCTGGGGGGAGCTGGTGCAGCCCAGGGTCCTTCTGGATCACACTGGCCAGCATTTTAGCTGTGAGCGCCCTTTGAGCAGCTGCAGACGCCCACCCTGGGAGCCACACGTGGGGGTTGATGCTTTCGGTTGTGGGCGGCCTCAGCCTGGGCCCCACCGGGGCAGCACTTGTGGTGCTTCTGTGGTGGTCTCGGGTTCAAGGCTTCACTGATGAAGGTGTTCCATGACAACTGGGAAATGATTTCTCTGGAACAGCAGGTCGGTATTTAAGGAGAACTGCTTGGTTTTCCAGGCTCCATTCTTTTACCAAGAACACTGGGCGCCTGCCAGATGGGTGAGGAAGCCGCAGCTCAGAAGCCGAAGTCAGGTGGTCTGGGAGCGTGCCACGCTGCTCCTTGTTTTCTGTCCTGTGTGGGAACGCAGAGTGACTCGATGTTGCCAGTTGGACGTGTGCGTTTGTGAGCTCTCTGTGACCGAGACGGGCATGTGTGGCGGACCCCACATCAGGCGCGCAGGCGGTGGCGGTCGTCCCGTGCTGTTCTGTGGGGTCCACGTGTCCGCAGTGGCAGCCCCAGCGATGACGTACCTGCATGGTGGCTGCTCCCAAGCAGGATCACAGAGAGCATGCAAGCTGCACTGGATCGGTGAGGTCCAGGGCTCGGAAAGGATCCCCCCAAAGCCTGAGTGTCACAGCGATGACGCAGTTAGAGCGAGTGTGCTGCATGTGCTGGGAGGCCGCGCTGGGCAGCCCTCACTGGGGCGTCGGCACTCAGGACGTCACCTGGCTAGGGCCTCCCTGTAGGGGCTGGCGGACCAAACTGAGCGGAGATGCCAGAACCCAGGCCGACCCGCAGCGGAAGTGTTTCCTCGTGCGCCCTCCTGGCCCTCTCCGGCCTTGGCGTGTTTGTTTGAGATTTTGCCTTAGGGCACATGCCCTCACCAGGAAGAAACAGAGACAGTGAGAGGGAAAGGGAGAAATCACCCCCCCGGGGGGCTGGCCATGCCACAGTCCCTTCTCTGTTCTCTTGGGCACATATACACACGTGCCTGGCTTGAGTTTGAAGCCACTGGATCGGAGACTCGAACTGCAGCCAACCGTGTGGAAGTCTAGTGATGTGACCACCTCTCCATCTCCTGGTCCGAGCCTTGAGATTTAGAAGGGGAGGCAGGGCTGTGGGAGCAGGAGCTGGCATGTTTGGAGGAGTTGCCTTCCTGCCACTAACTGCTGCTCACCTGTCTGTGCCGAGAGCCCTGCTCTGAATGCTGTGGGACTGCTTCCAGTTTTAGGAGCACATTTCACTGAGAGCAGGCAAGGCCTCTGGGCAGGCTCAGGGACAGGGTGAGCAGCAGCAAGTGGGAGCCTCCAGAGGGCCGCCCAGGGAGCGTGGGTGGCCTCCAGTCTCACTGGGCCTCTGCTTCCCTCTGCCATGGCGTCAGGCCCTGGCCTTGGTCCCAGGGAGTCTGGCCCAAGGTCTGCATTTAGCCTGCCTTGCGAAGGGCCAGCGTCGAGTGGTCCTCATGGAGGGCAGGAGCCCCCAGTAACCCCGTAGGTGTTATGCTGAGCCCAGGGTAGGAGCCCCCGTAACCCTGTAGGTGAAGTGCTGAGCTCAGGACAGGAGCCCCTGTAACCCCATAGGTGTTATGCTGAGCTCAGGACAGGAGGCCCCGTAACCCTGTAGGTGAAGTGCTGAGCCCAGGGTAGGAGCCCCCAGTAACCCCGTAGGTGTTATGCTGAGCCTAGGGTAGGAGCCCCCGTAACCCCGTAGGTGATGTGCCGTGAGCTCCGGGCCGAGGCAGTGGTTTGATGGAGGCCACAGCTCCGGTCCCCTGCCACCTATCGGCTTGCACTCCTCTGTGGGAGTCAGGCCGGCACTCTGCACCTGGTTTCCTAGTGTTCAGATGGAGGGTGCCTGCTGTAGGATCAGTGTGGTGGCCCTGGCTAGGCTCAGCACGGAGCCCCCACTCAGTGTTACTGCTGGCTGGCAGGCAGTCCTTGTGGCTCTGTTACCGAGCTGCCCTTCCAGAGCCTCGCTGAGAGCTGCGCCAGAGCACCTGGGGTTTGGTCGGGGTGTGCTGGGGCTCGGGGGGTGACTGCGGGAAGTGAGCGTCAAAGAGCAGACGGCAGGAGATGCTGTCAGCTGGGCGAGGGCGTAGGGCGGGGGTGGCGGCGAGGGTGTGTAGGAACCTCCGCTGGCACTGGGCAGAGGGACGGGGGAGCCCAGTGCTCCCTCCAGAGTGTTGCCATGGTCCTTGACGACAGGCCTGGCTGGCTCAAACTGGATGGTAGCAAGTGAGCCACTCGGGGCTCGAGGCCTCGCGGCCATGTGGAACCCACTGGGGCACGTGTTCCAGACAACTGGATTTCTGCCATACCTGTTCACGAACGGTTCACCTGGCTTAGGTTCACGTAGTTAGGCTTCCAGAGCCATTAGAATAGACAGCACGGGGACCAGCAGGTGGCGTGGTGGTTCAGTGCTGGACTCCCACATGGCCGACCACGGTTCACGTCCTGGGCCTGGTGGCTTGCTTTTTCACTTTCTCTCTCTCTGGTCATATTAAAATGAATGAATAAATAAAATTAAATAATTCTTTTTTTTTTTTTTTTTAAAAAAAGCAGACACAGTTACTGTTTAAAAAAAAAGTGTTTTGCCTGAAA